GAGGCGTTGTTTCCCTTCTTGTATTCAAACAGCATTACATGCCGAATGCGTGTCTCATCATGTGCCATCACTATAAGGGATTAGAGTATACTAAACTTCACACATTATATAGGCTTCACTAACTTGACGTTTAGGCGGTTCGTTTAACTATTATACGTGATGTATGTTTTTGGGGGGTGGCTAATGAAAGTGTTCCAAAATGTGACAATTTCTTGATTATGTAATATTTAACCTTTCTCAATTTCATATAAATGTTCTATAGTGATAGAATCTATATGGATGTGAATTTTTATCTTTTAAACAAAAAAAACTAAATTTTGAAAGATGTTGACTGAAGTCGTATTTCGTTTACATTTTTAGATATAAGCCTGTAATCTCAACATTTATTGAATGTTAATTTAGCTGTTCATGATTCAAGAAACTTAACTATTGTTCACTAAAAAGAAGATAAGTTACAATGGGTTGTTGGAGGAGATTGTAACAATAAAAACTCAACAACCACAAAATAAAATATGAAATGCTAATCCCAAACACAATAAAAAAATTTAAGGCAACACAAAAGATATGTAGATATTGTTATATAAAAACAGCCTAAATTTTTTGGCATGTCGAGGCTAAACTGCTATTAACTTTCAGGCTAAGTGAGACCAAAAATGGTTTTCCTTAAATACGAATCACCTCAGTCCACAAATCACAAACATGAGCCATCTATGTTCTTTAAAGATATAAATTTTGAGAATCACAAAATGTTTCACACATCTTAAATCTTTATAAGTAACAAGTGTGGGCCATACACAAAATATAAAAACTTCATCTAATACTGATAAAAGGTAAAAAACTAGTACCTATCTGTTCCAAATGCCCAACTGACTGCTTCTGTTATTGACCTGTTACCCTCAACCTCCCACGTACAATGAACACTGAACTGCTCGGCATGGGTGGCCATTCTGAAACTAAACAATTAATAAATGTTTAGAGAAAGATCAACCTCTTGATGTACTTTATGTATTGAGTCTGACATAAAATTCAGACCTTATCCAATTAAGTTATCAAGCAAGTGTATATACTGTTTCATAAAAAACAGAATGATGGATATATATTCCTTAAATTATTTGACACCTTTGAAAATATGAAAAAATGTAATTTTTCTTGCAATTCTCAAAAATTATAATGAATTTTGATACTATTTGTTTTATGAAGTATTTTATAAACCATGAAACAATATGTTGTGGAACTTTTTAACAAGCTTTAAATCTCAAGAACTGAATTTGCTTTCAAATTATTTTGATACCAATGATAAAAACTAGTTTTCTTTTATCTATGTAACTTTTCAAATTTCCTTGTACTTCAGACATGAATGTATGGCACAGAAATAAGGATATACATAAATTAATATCAGGCAGAGCTAGGCGATTAACTCATTTACCTACGAGCATTGATTAGTGGCAAGTAAAATAATAATTTATGATTAAATTGATTAATGTCACAAAAATAACTGACTAACTGAAATTAATATTTCCAATTATTCCAACTAACTGAAATATTGCCATTATGATTTCTCATTATAATTTTTGATTGATTCGTGGTTGTTCAACCTAATCAATTAGGGTCCTGTCTCACGAAAATAATCGACTAATCGAGGTTCATGTTTTCAATTATTCCAAGTCTCAAACGATAATAATCAATTATCAAATTCTACCAATCGCCTAGCTCATATTTTAGGTACAACAATAATACTGCAGCATAAAATTAACTGTTGCAAAGATAATAATAAAGAACCGGGAATTCCACACATAAACAACTGACTTCAATAAAGATATGATTATTCATTCTTATGAATTATTTACTAGATTCTCAAACTCACTACAGCTAACAGAAGCTGGTAATTTGTAATAAAATGTAAACAGTAAAGTAGCAGAAATCATCTACGCAGTAGCTGAATTAAAGTCACATTTATTTTCCAGCAGAATTATAGTGGTTTTACAACTTCACCTACTGAACAAAAGATCTACTTTTCAAAGTTTGTGATGACATTTTTCATGTTAATGAAACAGGATGATTTAATTTTGACTTGCAAGAAATAGATGAATACTTAACAAGTTATTCTGTAAGGATTATGTAATGAATAACTTCTTTTTCGCTAATATAACTAGTTTTAAAGTCTTCGGTTATAACATAAAGTGGCATTAAGCAAACTGATCTAAAGATTTTAATCCTATTTGATCAAGGTATTTTCCATACACTCATTACAACTGTAACAATCTACAAAACATTGTCAAGAAAAAGCCTTGCCATGTTAAAACATTATATTTCCACTGACATTTATTTTGATATGCAAAAGGCTTAGAATAATATAAATGATTAATCTTCATGCAAATTTCATTTCTGTTATAATTTATATTTTGACCTCATAATAACATCGATTTTAGTAAACCTAACATAAGAAAATTTTACACTTCAAGACAATATACTTGTACATTTTATTAAACAGGAACTATTTTTATATCTCAATAATTTGTAAAAAGATTTCATAATGATGCAATAAATAATTCTGATGTGTAATCTTTAGCAATAAATAATTCTGATGTGTAATCTTTAGCAATAAAAATTATATATTCCATATAATTATATAATGCCATATGTTATTTTTTAGGACTTTTTAATTCTACACAATTCCCTTTTAAAATCAAGAATATACTATAGTAATAAACATGTGTAAATTCTAGTGGCAAAAAAACATTTATACAGTCTTAAACGTTCACTGTTAATAAAGTAACATTTCTAGTAAACATTAAATAATTATACAATAATTAAGTAATATTTAAACAATAATTATTCAAACAATTGTAGAGTACTCATGTATATAGTTCTTATTGATTACAACTAAATAAAATAACGAAAGATGTGTTAGCAGTTTTTAGAACTATAATAATAATTCAGTTAAACTTGAAAAACTGTAAATCTAGATTAAGATTCAATTATTTTCATAAAACAAACCAAAACACAAGTGCTCTGTATTTATAGAAGTGTACTGAACAATAGGGTATTATCAACTTTCAAAACTATTATATCAATAAAAAAATAAGCATAGCTTCAGGCTTACACTTTAAAATAAAATGTAGTTTGATAAATGTAAGTATCACTATTACTTAGCATTATTATTATTAAACATATTTACACTCTTTACAGACAATATAAAATGATAAATGTCAAATGGGAGTTAAATATTTCAAATAATGTGAACATTTTTTTTTTTTTTACATAAATCTTTAAAAACTAAACGGTTTCCAGCTTCTTAATTTAATGTTTTACAATATCTTATAAAACATTATTATTACAAGTTATCTAATAATAATAATAGCTTTCTAAAGAATTTTTAGATACAGAAAAAGGCGCTGCTAAGATTAACACTTAGGTTTAAACTTAAGTAAAAATAAATACATAAGTAGTATTGTACTACATTAAGTCATTATTATCAAATTAAAAGAAAAAAACAAGATAAAATTAAAAGTTCGAAAACTAACCCACGATTACAAGGAAATCATGGATAGTGCTACAATTTAAAAAAAAAAAGAATTACGACAGAAAACTAATTTCACTACTCTTCAACCACGTGGTCGTGGCCATTAATAATAGTAGATTATAAGGGGTTAAAAATTAAAGCGTTAGGCCTAAGATGATTCAACTATCTCCAAAGTCATGGTCCATATAAAGTTATAGAGGGTAAGTGTTACATGATACGCAACGTTCTAAGCATAGATCGGAGCCATAATGGCATCGTTCCATATTCGTTTCGTCTATCCCGACTCCCGGGTACAAGTTGGCGAAAATAGTGTGGCGTTAGAATTTCATTCATTGGAGCACACGCAAAAAAAAGTAATCTTAAAAGATAGGTGGTACCAAGTTTACAAATCGACATGTGTCTTGTTTTTATTCGAACTTCAGTTGTATTAATTCTGTGTACTTTTAATATCTTTGCATACAAACATTTTTTTTTTTTTACAGTGTCTTTAAAAGTCATTAAACCGGTGAACAAACCTAATATATACATACATACAATATCACTACCTGAAATGATTAATATTATTGACATAGTTGAACTGATGACAGCTAGTTCTGCTCGAAATTGAGTGTCTTTGACATCATGAAAAGGGTGGGTGTCTTTTTCTCCATGAAATTCAAAGTAATTGAGCTATTTTCCTGTTTTGGCCGAGATAGAGGTGATAGCCAATTTTTGTGTAAAATAGCAATGTCAAACTATAATAACTGAAGTCGTTCTAGGTGTGTTTTGTATGATGCGTAAGGAAATTAGATTTTTGATATTTTCCTTTCTTTGTCGTTAAACACAAAGATACCCAATAGACTATCTTTGTTGTGCTTATCGGGGTATAGAAACCCTATTTTTAGCGTTAAAAGCCATTAAAGTTACCGTTAAAAGCCATTAAAAAATCATGTTTTACGACTTTTTATCTAAAAATAAATTTATCTCTACATCATTATCCAAGTTTACATATTTTTGTATTAACATGTTTCAGTTACAAAAAAACCCTTGTCATTTATATTATATTACACAGATAACATTTTTACAGCTTTCGATAGCCTTGACGCCATCTATGACTCTTTATCTAATCTAAATCAGAAACATCCAAACATAAAATTCAGGATAGAAAAACTTTACTCTTATTTTTATATTTATATGTTTGATAGTTCATTAATAAATACTTTATTAATTATATAACTGCCGAATCACATGCTTTGTAGATTAGTACTGTTACAGACACTCGCGTGATTCTCTTATTTTAATTAAAATAATATGTAGCTGGTAGTCTCAGTTCTTGTATGTCACGTGATGATTACAGATAAACTTGGTTAAACGTTGACAAAGTAAACAAAAGTCTTACTCTATAAAAACAATAAAACCTCGTATGAAAAAAATATATATTCCATCACCAATTTCTCCCATAACAACATATCAAATGGTTAATCTACTCATTAACATATTTGATAAGTTTTTCTCCACAATCCAGTTTTCCATTTTTGTGTTTTCAATATGAACGGTACTTTGTCTGATATACAGGCAATAAAGCAAGGTCAAAGACAAAGGTTCAGGCTTATCAATCCCTAATTTAAAACTGCTGAACAGAAGGATGAAAACTAGCAGCTACTGCCGCCTACATACCTACATCCAAATAGATGAATTTAATCTTCATTTTATAACTCGTCTATAGCTGAAAGAGTGGAGAGTGTTCGCAGCATATTGAAGATTTGAACTTTGAACCTTCCGATTCGCGTCTCACAAGCCACTGAGCCATGCATAATTTATCGTATATTTACAAGTACAACGTATTACGTTCGTTTGAAACAGCAATATTCCACTTATTTTTTTACAATGCTTAGTACTCTATTTTAATGTTTAAGATATTAATGATGGATGTTTAAGCTATTAATTTTATCTGTTTCTTAAAAAACCAAAAGTGTAAAATATATAACACTATTTAATCTTGATCTTACATGATAATATGAGTCTATAGGTTTCCAAGTCCACTGACATCAAAACGACAAGTTTAAAGGCATCCATAAAACAGATTTTGGAATTGTTAAGCAGAAAATAAATCGAACTCAAACACTAAAGAATGACCCAAACAAGTGTGGTCGAAACATGCGAAAAATATCCTGTTTTGCAATAATAAATAACTGTGGTTTAAGATGCGTATTAATTTTATTAATTAAATGCCGCAAAATATAAGTGTAAATCAGTTAAACTGACCAAATGATACTGAATTAATTATTCTAATTAAGTTGCTTTGCTGTAATGCTTTATCGTTATGTTCAGCTATAAAAAATATTTTTAGAGATATTCGAACCAAAGATAAATACAAATATTCAAATATATGACTAATGTATAATGGTTACCCACCTACAAGTATATTTAGTATGGGATTAAGAAAAAAGTGTTACGAAGTTGATCAATATCTAAAGAAAGAAAGAAGACGCAAATACTTTCATTAATTTATTTTTGAACACTTCAAGACGTATTACTGATATGATTAAAACATTATTCTATTATCATTTAAATTATATTAATTTTTTATATATTTTTACGAATTTATGTTGTCTGTTATGTTTCTTAGAGTTACAGCTTTTGCACTTCATACATCATTTACACTGATGAATGAGTTAATACAACACAAGTCGATTAGGCTTACGTCAAGTGACACTGACAGCGTAAAGGTATGACTATTTTCATATAGAGCGTTTCTACTTAGCGACTGTTGTTGAATGAAATCCTTTTAGGTAAATTCGATGCTATTTAGTGGATTGATGGGTTTGATATCGTGAAATACATTTAATCGAGTATTTAAATAGTTAGACTGTTTTAATTTCAAAAGTTTGAACATCTAACTGCAGTATCTACTGAAATTTAAACTCAATAGGCCTTATTCAAGTTATTGTTACACTTACAAGTTACACTTTTACAGTGACTAAATATTACATTACTAGTAAATAAATGATTAAATGTATCATTATTTAAACTGTTTTCATTGGAAACAGTACTGTAATATTTATTTAAAATGAGCGTATTATGTAAATTATATTATTTTGTGATAATTTTAGAATAGTACTTTATTGCTGTTAATGTTGCTATTATTACTGTTAGTGTTGCTATTATTACTGTTAGTGTTGCTATTATTACCTATAAGTTATAGTTATAGTATAAGATTGCTTCGTTTTATTATAATAGTTAATACCCATTAATTGTGATTTTTTAATTTTTGTTAGTTTTAACTTTTAGTACTTAGTGAATATTACTACTGCTAGTTGTAACCATTGTTGATTTATTAATTTTTGTTAGTTTTAACTTTTAGTACTTAGTGAATATTACTACTGCTAGTTGTAACCATTGTTGATTTATTAAATTTTAAAATTAATATTATGGCTGATGTTATTTGCCAAGCAGCCAGGTGCCAGATGAGAATATAGCTAAACTCACAGAACCTATCCATCTAAATATTTAACATTGACTTGTTTCTACCATTGATAAAAACTGCCATAGGTTGTGATGACTGCCATGCAAATAACATAACTCATGAAGAAACTTATAAAGTCATAAAATGTATATCTATAAACAATAATACTAGATTGAGCAAAGTAGTTGTCTTACATCAACTTCATTTCATATTTAAATTGTCAAAAGAGACTCGAGTTCTACTGACTTAGCTGAGCCGGTATTTCAGATCTCGCAGGAATCCATGTGAAACTTTCCTTTCGTACAAAGCTGCCAGGTGAATAGCCACTTTAATTTCATTATATTCTTTAAGATTAAAACTTGCTGTTAGGAAAGTTAATATGTTACTATTTCCATCTAATGCACATTCACCAATTAAATAGTCCCAGCAAAAAGGTTCGTAAGTATTTTTAGTAGCTCATAGTTGATAAAAAAGTTTCTGTAATGTTGTGTGTAATCAAATATTTGTCATTAAAAATTGAAATAGTTGTACCTTTGACTTGGACTTTACTAAGTAAGAAACATTGTTTTCAAAATACTATTAACGTTTAAGAATTTAAGAGCATAGTTTCATTACATTGTAGCATATAGAAATGATGACAGATTTATGCCATGAAAAGGAATATAAATATATTAAAAATTCGTATATGATTTATTAAATTTTGAAGTTTATGAGCCCCTTTTATTTATATATATTATCATCAGTACAAGTGGAATATTTAGTCAAGAGATGCTATCTTAGTGATTCAGCTTTATGAGATTAAAGCAGCGTATGAGACAAAGCTGGTCATCTGCCAGAAAAACTTACCAGCCTGATATTGGCAACAAGTGTCAGAAACCGAAGGAAAATGGGAAAGTGTTGTGGAAAAGCAAACACCAAATTTCTTCCAGCAGCATGTGCTTGGACTCTCTTGATATCAACAACAACCTTGTTTTTTGCTTTCCCGTAAGTACTTGTCTTTGCCCGTAAGTCTTTAGTTTAACATACAATGTATATTTTAATGTTACTGATGGTTGGCTGGGTTTTTCTGTTGCTGTTAAGTACCTTGATATCATTCATGACACGATTATTACTACCAGTTAATAATTACAGATTTATATAAAATGATATTGAAGAATTGATGAATAAAATGTATGTATGTTAGTTTAGTAGCAAAACTGCAAAAATTACAATATATAACAGAAAACTAGTCATAACTTTGGAAAGTTTTAGAATAATGTTTTCAAAATAAATCATTTATCAAGTTTGGAAATTTTTTGTATTTTTTCACCTTTAATTCTTTTTTGGACTGGTCACGGGTGAAAGGCCATGTCATCGCGTTTGTTGACTCACATTCAAAATTTTATTGAACTACTGTTTTATGAATTTATGTCAATGAGTTTGGTATCAAACTGTAGATTATAATTCAAATTTTTAGTACTATACATTACTCAATTTCTTAATTTAAAAGTAAGTATTAAAAAACAGATAAACATCGATGTTTGTGTGTCACGTGGTATGTTGAATGCAGCACTGGTTCAAATTAGATGTTTGTGAAGTCAAAATACGAAGTCTGTGGTTACATATGAATTAGAAACTCAAAATACCGATATTGAAAAGCTAGAATATAAAATACGAAGGTCTTATCTTTTCTATTTGCTAAGATATTACTCACTTAATAAATTAAACATAGTGGCACCATGCTCACCTCTTTTC